TTTTAATACATATGTGTGTGAGAGAGATCAATTTATGTGCATTTCAAGATAGGACACAAGGCAGTGTTTTAACAGTCTCCATTGGTAGGTAAAATGCTATGCTATATTTTAATACATGTGTGTGGGCGTGGGTGAATGTGTGATGAATTTATGTACATCCCAGGTATATGTCAGTAGTATACAGGGTATTTCAAAAGAAATTGGAGCTAAATGGACCTTTATTTACAAAAATAGCCATGTTCACTACTCTATCTATCTCTCTATCTATCAATGTCCTGTTCGTTATTAGGACAAAGTAAACAACAAAACCACTGGACTAAATGTCACTAAATTTGTCCAAAAGACACCTAATGACCCAAGGAGTGACCATCACTCATAACCCCCCTCCTCCAAAACAAAAAAACAGTGGAAAGAACTCATTATTATTAGCAGAGTCTCTATGGCCCATCTGTCAGATGTGCTTTGATTGTGTTTTACCCTTATGGCATAAGGAGGTTGGACTGGATGGCCCTTGGAGGTTTCTTCCTAATCTAGGATTCTATTAAAACAATAATAAGCAGAGTCTCTATGGCCATCTGTCAGAAGTGCTTTGATTATGTAAAGGAGCAACTGCAAGTTGCTTCTGGTGTGAAAGAATTGGCTGTCTGCAAGGACGTTGCCCAGGGGACACCCGGATGTTTTACTATCCTTCTGGGAGGCTTCTCTCATGTCCCCACATGAGGAGCTGGAGCTAATAGAGGGAGATCATCCGCACTCTCCCCGGATTCGAACCTGCGATCCTCAGGTCTTCAGTCCTACTGGCACAGGGGTTTAACCCACTGCACCACCAGGAGGCACCAGGGAAATAGACCTTGGCATTTGGGAGTTGTATTGCTGGGATTTATAGTTCACCTACAACCAAAGAGCATTCTGAACCCCACCAATAACACAATTGGGCCAAACTTCCCACACAGAACATGACCAACAGAAAATACTGTGTTTTCTAATGTTCTTTGGCAACCCCTCTAACACCCCCCTCGCAATCCCCCCAAGTTGAGAAATGCTGCCTTAGCCTGTATTTTGACTTTTGTGGAGATGTGTGTTTCTCGTATGAGATGCTCATGCCCTGGACTGCTTCCCCAATCCCTCCTCCTCCTCCAAAGGGGGAGGGCTGCCCCCCTCCCCCCCACACACACACAGTTCTAATTTCTTTCTCATCTATTTGAAACACAACAAGATGAGTCCACAGCAGACAAGATCACTCTGCTGGCTGTTGTATTGGATCACACGTCGGACCCTTCCCAAGTGTCTAGGAATGTGTGATATATCGGTGAATAATGCGTGCAGATCCCAGTACGGTGGCCTGCAGATGGTAATTTTGTCAGCGCTGATTGTGTTTAAGTGCAGGCCAAGGTCTTTAGGCACTTTACCCAGGGTGCCAGAGCCCCTAGTGGTGCAGTGGGTTAAACCCTTGTGCAGGCAGGACTGAAGACCTGGATGAGCTCCCTCTGTCAGCTCCAGCTCCCCATGCGGGGACCTGAGAGAAGCCTCTCACAAGGATGGACAAAACATCCGGGCGTCCCCTGGGCAACGTGCTTGTAGACAGCCAATTCTTTCATAACAGAAACGACTTGCAGTTTCTCAAGTCGCTCCTGACACACGCACACAAAAACAAAAACGGTGCCAATCACCACTGGGACCACCTTGACTGGCTTGTGCCATCATCATCATCATGCCAGCAACTACAATTCACAAATGACAAAATCAATCCCCCCAGTATTCAAATTTGGGCGTAACGGGTATTTGTGCCAAATTTGGTCCAGTGAATGAAAATACATCCTGCAGATCAGATATTTACATGATGATTTATTACAGTAATGAAGTAGCAACCAAAATAATTTTTATGGTGGGGGGGGGGGTTTACCACAACATGAAGGACTGTATTAAATGGTCGCAGGATTAGGAAGGTTGAGATACACTGGACTAAGGGGATATCAAAAGATTCGTGCCAAGTTTGGTTCAGATCCATCATTGTCCACAGTGCTCTCTGGATGTAGGTGAACTACAACTCCCAAATGCAAGGCCAATGTCCACCAAACCCTTCCAGCATTTTCTGTCTGTCATGGGAGTTCTTTGTGCCAAGTTGGGTTCATTTCTATCATTGGTGGAGTTCAGAGTGCTCTTTGATTGTAGGTGAACTATAAATCCCAGCAACTATTTATTTATTTATTTATAACATTTATATTCCGCCCTTCTCATCCTGAAGGGCACTCAGGGCGGAGGACAGCATATATATGGCAAACTGGGACACAATGCTGGGACACAAATTCTTATATACATACATAAACATTTAAAACATTATCAAAATACTAAAATACCCCATTTAAAACCATCCTAGTCATCTGCGTCAAATCTATTAGGCCTGGTCATCTTTCCTATTGCTGCTTTATTGCCCTGTCCTGAAAGCTTGGTCCCACAACCAAGATTTTACCATCCTTCTGAAGGACAGGAGGGAGGGGGCCAACCTGATCTCACCAGGAAGGGAGTTCCATGGCTGGGGAGCAATCACCGAGAAGGTCCTGTCTCTCATCCGCACCCATTGTGCCTGTGACAATGGCGGGACGGAAAGCAGGGCCTCCCCAGAGGATCTTAATCTCCACAATGGTTCATAGGGAGAGATGCGTTCGAACAGGTAAATTGGGCCGGGGCCGTTTAGGGCTTTATAGGCCAAAGCCAGCACTTTGAATTGTGCCCGGTAGCAAATTGGCAGCCAGTGGAGCTGGCATAACATGGGAGTTGTGTGCTCCCTGTATGCTACCCCAGGTATTAACCTGGCTGCCTCTCGTTTGACTATTTGAAGCTTCCAAGCAGTCTTCACAGGCAACCCCACATAGAGTGCATTGCAGTAGTCTATCCTAGATGTACCGAGAGCATGGACCATTGTGGCCAAGTCAGACTTCCCAAGGTACGGGCGCAGCTGGCACACAAACTCCCAAATGACAAAATGAATCCCCCTTCAAACCCTACCAGTATTCAAATTTGGGCGTATCAGGTATTTGTGCCAAATGTAGTCCAGTGAATGAAAATATAATAATACTTTATTTATATACCGCCCTATCTCCTCTACACATATACAAAATCATACAATATAAAACAAAAACATAGGGATAAACTGTTAACACAACATATACATTAAAATCAATTTAAATACATCTTGCAGATCAGATAGTTACATGGCGATTCATTACAGTGATGAAGTAGCAACCAAAATATATTTTTATGGTTTGGGGGGGGGGTCACCACAACATGAGGAACTGTATTAAGAAGTCATGGGATTAGGAAGGTTGAGAAACACTGGACTAAAGGGAAATCAAAAGATTTGTGCCAAGTTTGGTTCAGATCCATCATTGTCCACAGTGCTCTCTGGATGTAGGTGAACTGTCCGTCATAGGAGTTCTTTGTGCTAAGTTGAATTCAATTCCATCGTTGGTGGGGTTCAGAATGCTCTTTGATTGTAGGTGAAATATAAATCCAAGCAACTACAACTCCCAAATGTCAAGGTCTATTCCTCTCCCCTCTCCCCCCCAAACCCCACCAGTATTCAAATTTGGGTGTATTGGGTATTAGTGCCAAATTTATTTATTTATCGTGTCAGGCAACAAGGCAATTGTCTGATTTGTGCCAAATGTGGCACAAATGTTGTCTTTCCATTACACATTCAGCAGTGGAACAAGGCAGAGAGTTCCACTGCTGAATGAAAATATAATATATAACATAATAATAATAAAACTTTATTTATATACCGCCTTATCTCCTTGACACATATGCAAAATAATACAAAATCATCTATATATATATATAAATGCTCTGTGCATAATGAGTACCTTAAAAACTAAAGAACCAATGAACGAAATCACACCAAATTTGGCAACAAAATGTCTCACAACACAAGGAGTGACCATCACTCAAAAAATTATGATCTTGTCACCTGGGATTTATAGTTCACCTACAATCAAAGAGTTCTGTGTGCCAAGTTTGGTTCAATTCCATCGTTGATGGAGTTCAGAATGCTCTTTGATTGTAGGTGAACTATAAATCCCAGCAACTACAACTCCCAAATGACAAAATCATAATTCTTTGAGTGATGGTCACTTGTGTTGTGAGACGTTTTGTTGCCAAATTTGCTGTGATTTCGTTCATTGGTTCTTTTGTTTTTAAGGTACTCATTATGCCCAAAGCATTTTTATATAATAATAATAATAAAACTTTATAATAATAAAAACAATAAAACACATATGCAAAACAATACAAAATAAAACAAAAACGTAGGCATAAACTGCTAACACAACATATACATTAAAATGCTGAATGAAAATATAATATATAATATAATAATAATAAAACTTTATTTATATACCGCCTTATCTCCTCGACACATATGCAAAACAATACAAAATAAAACAAAAACGTAGGCATAAACTGTTAACACGACATATACATAAAAATTATTATTATTATTATTATTATTATTATTATTATGCCAGCAACTACATTTCCCAAATGACAAAATAAAACAAAAACGTAGGCATGAACTATTAACACAACATATACATTATTATTATTATTATTATTATTATTATTATTATTATGACAGCAACTACAATTCCCAAATGACAGAATCAATCCCCCTCCCTCAAACCTCACAAAATACATCCTGCAGATCAGATATTGACATGGCGATTCGTTACAGTGATGAAGTAGCAACCAAAATATATATTTTTATGGTTTTTGGGGGGTGGGGGTCACAAGATATGAAGGGGTCGCGGGATGAGGAAGGCTGAGAAACACGGGACTTAAGGGGGTCTCAAAAGGCATGCCTGAGGGGGGAAAAGAAGCCGAAAATGGGGCCCAAAAGGAGGGAGGGAGGGAGGCGAGGCTGCCTGGGAGGGAAAGGCGTCGCAAGGCGGCCCCTCGCGGCCTTTCTGAGGGACCTGAAGGGACCGATGGAGGGGCCTTCTCACCTGCCAGCCGGGCGAGGCCTCCGCCGCATCCTTCTTCCCTCACGCGGAGAGAGAGAGAGAAGGCAGACCGACGACGAGGAGGGCCTTCCTTCCACGGCGCCGCAGTCTCCGCCTCAGTGTGAGTGAGTGTGTCTGTGTGTGTGTGAGGAAACTCCACCCTTTTGCGCATGCACGCGCAAGCCCCGCCCCCTCCGCGCTCTCCTGCCCTTCTCATTCGTCCCCGCCTTTTCTTCGCGCTCTTCTCTTTGCGTCTCTCACCTCCCTCCGTCGTCTCTCGCGCTTAGCCCCGCCCCCTTTTCTCCCCCCAGCCAACGCTACGGAGGCGGGGGGGAGACTCCCTTTTTGGAACAGCCGCGCCCAGGACTGAGGAGCAATGAGGGAGGAGCCACCAAGCCCCGCCCCCTTATAGAATGCGTCATGTTCGACCCGTATGTTAATTAGGTTTTTCTGCGGGGGAAAGGAGGAACTTTCCGGCAACCGGGTTTGCTTTACGGCCGGCCGTGGAAACTGGAGTGAGGAGAATGAGGCCCGAGACAGGTAAAGGTTTTGTTGTGTTTTTGTGTGAAAGGTGTATATTGTATTACAGAGGGAAGAGTTAAGGGGAATCATATGGAAGAGGCCTCAATGGGGCAAATGAGGAGAAGGCTAGGCCTGGGCCAGTTTGGGCCTTCCAGGTGATTTGGACTCAAACTCCCACAATTCCTAACAGCCTCAGACCCTTTCCTTTTCCGCTCAAGCCATCTCTAGGCCAGGCCTGGGCCAACTTGGGCCCTCCAGGTGATTTGGACTCCAACTCCCACAATTCCTAACACCCTCAGGCCATTTCCTTTTCCTCTCTAGCAAACTTGGGCCTTCCAGGTGATTTGGACTCCAACTCCCACAATTCCTAAAAGCCTCAGACCCTTTCCTTTTCCTCTCAAGCAATCTCTAGACCAGGCCTGGGCCAACTTAGGCCCTTTAGGTGTTTTGGATTTTGACTCACAAAATTCCTAACAGTCTCAGGCCATTTCCTTTGTCTCTCAAGCAAACTTGGGCCTTCCAGGTGATTTGGATTCCAACTCCCACAATTCCTAACACCCTCAGGCCACTTCCTTTTCCTCTCAAGCCATCTCTAAGCCAGGCCTGGGCCAACTTGGGCCCTCCAGGTGATTTGGACTCCAACTCCCACAATTCCTAACACCCTCAGGCCATTTCCTTTTCCTCTCAAGCAATCTCTAGGCCAGGCCAGGGCCAAATTGGGCCCTCCAGGTGATTTGGACTTCGACTTTCACAATTCCTAACAGCCTCAGGCCATTTCTTTTTCCTCTCGAGCAAACTTGGGCCTTCCAGGTAATTTGGACTCCAACTCCCACAATTCCTAAAGCCTCAGGCCACTTCCTTTTCCTCTCAAGCCATCTCTAGGCCAGGCCTGGGCCAACTTGGGCCCTCCAGGTGATTTGGACTCCAACTCCCACAATTCCTAACACCCTCAGCCCACTTCCTTTTCCTCTCAAGCCATCTCTAGGCCAGGCCTGGGCCAACTTGGGCCCTCCAGGTAATTTGGACTCAAACTCCCACAATTCCTAACAGCCTCAGGCTATTTCCTTTTCCTCTCGAGCAAACTTGGGCCTTCCAGGTGATTTGGACTCCAACTCCCACAATTCCTAAAAGCCTCAGACCCTTTCCTTTTCCTCTCAAGCAATCTCTAGACCAGGCCTGGGCCAACTTAGGCCCTTTAGGTGTTTTGGATTTTGACTCACAAAATTCCTAAGAGCCTCAGGCCATTTCCTTTTCCTCTCAAGCAAACTTGGGCCTTCCAGGTGATTTGGACTCCAACTCCCACAATTCCTAACAGCCTCAGGCCCTTTCCTTTTCCTCTCAAGCAATCTCTAAGCCAGGCCTGGGCCAACTTGGATCCTCTGGGTGATTTGGACTCCAACTCCCACAATTCCTAACACCCTCAGGCCATTTCCTTTTCTCCCTCAGCCGCTTAAGCGAAGGGAAAAGGAATGGGCCTGAAGCTGTTAGGAATTGTGGGAGTTGATGTCCCAAACACCTGAAGGGCCCAAGTTGATCCAGACCTGCATTCATAGAATAACAGTCATAGAATCGTAGAGTTGGAAGAGACCATATGGGCCATCTAGTCCAACCCCCTGCCATGTGGAAAAAGCACAATCAAAATATCCCTGACAATGGGCTATCCAGCCTTTGTTTTAAAGTTTTCATTACACTCCAAGGCAGAGAGTTCCGCTGCTGAACAGATCTTCTTACAGTCAGGAAGTTCTTCCTAATGTTCATGTGGAATCTCCTTTACTGTCATTTAACCCATTGCTTCGACTACATTCTTAACTAGGAGTCAGTTGTGGATTGGATGTTTGTAACTCGGGTTTTGTGTATGTATATATATGTATGTGTGTGTGTATAATATATATATATATATATACACACACACACACACACGGTGCTCCGTGCGGTCATGCTGGCCACATGACCTTGGAGGTATCTATTGAGAACACCAGCTCTTTGGCTTAGAAACTGAGATGGGCACCACCCCCAGAGTCAGACACGACTAGACTTAATGTCAGAGGAAACCTTTAACTTTATACCGTATATACTCGAGTAGAAGACGGCCCGAATATAAGCCAAGGCACCTAATTTTATCACAAGAACACTGGGAAAACATACCACTCAAGTATAAGCCAAGGGTGGGAAATGCAGCAGCTACTGGTAAATTTCAAAATGAAAATATAGATACCATTAAAATTACATTAATTGAGGCATCAGTAGGTTAAATGTTTTTGAATATTTACATAAAACTGCAATTGAAGATAAGACTGTCCAACTCTGATTAAATCATTATTCTAACCTTCTTCAATGTAAATGTGTTTACATATCTTTTCAGTAATCACTATAGTTTGTTTAAACTATACATTTTGGGGAAAGTGCTGTGTGTATATGAATAAGGAAAAGTGGGAAAGACTGATACAGAGAGACAAAGAGAGGAAGGTGCGCACTGCACCGAGAAAGGAGGAGAGGAAGGAGAGCTGGGTTGCTGTGCAGAGAGGTGAGGGTCCTGGCAGAAGGATATGGGGTTGAAAGAAGCCCTCCTTTCAACCCCACGCGTTCTTTCTAGGACCGTCACCCGAATATAAGCCGAGGAGGGCTTTTTCAGCCTAAAAAGGGCTGAAAATTAGGCTTATATATGAGTATATTCCGTATAATGTAAGTATGTATGTTTCTATGTTTGTTCCAGGGGGCCCTGGTGGGACAGCAGGTTAAACCGCTGAGCTGCTGAACTTGCTGACCAAAAGGTTGGCAGTTCAAATCTGGGGAGCGGGCAGAGCTCCCGCAGTTAGGTCCAGCTTCAGCCAACCTAGCAGTTCGAAAACATGGAAATATGAGTAGATCAATAGGTACTGCTTTCGTGGAAACATAACGGCGCTCCATACAGTCATTCCAGCCACTTGACCTTAGAGGCATCTACAGACAACACCGCTCTTTGGCTTAGAAATGGAGATGAGCACCAACCCTTCAGAGTTGGACACAACTAGACTTAACTAGACTGTAGGAATTATTGGCACCAGAAGAGTTGTTTTGTAAAGCATTTTATTTTGAGATACATGGAACATTCTGGATATTTAATAGAATAAAAAAAAAACCCTGATGCAATGGAGATCAGGTTTTTTTTTTTCATGTATGCCATTTTAAGGTCTTTGATTAAATTGTAATGAGATTTTGCTTAATTATTGACCTTAAAGCACTTTACAGAGTAGGTCATTGGTGCATTTCTGAAAAAGAAGTCGTAATTCAGATTACTGTGTCCTCTAATAGTTCACTACGCAGTGAGGGAAGTCTTCCCACTCCTTCCTGATGAATAAATAAACCACTATATGTGAAACCTTTCCTGGTGTGATGGCTGGGTGTTCCTTGGTTTGCGGTTAGTCACATTAAGGAGACAGTGTTTGCTATCCATGTTGCTTTTTCAAAAGGGCCACATCCTGGTTGATATGATTTGGTATTTACTGAACACGGAGTCTCAGATAATTTCTAGAACTGGCATATGTTTCATGGAAAACCCCTGTTGCTAAATCCCAGAACTTACTTCCAAATAAACATACATAGGGGCAAGACTTTAAATGATTTTGCAAGTCTCTGGGATTTGAAAACTTTTGGAATTCCCCAGCCAACATGGCCAGTAGGGAATTACAGTCTCAAGAAGTAATGTTTCAGGATCACTAATTTAGGAGTTTGGGCTAAAGAATGTACATGTTTACATTTCTGATGGTATTAATTGAGCTCCTAGTGGTGCAGCGGGTTAAACCACTGAGTTGCTGGACTTGCTGACTGAAGGGTTGGTGGTTCAAATCTGGGGAGCAAGGTGCGTTCCCGCTGTTAGCTCCAGCTTCTGTGAACCTAGCAGTTTGAAAACATGCAAATGTGAGTAGATCAATAGGTACCGCTTCGGCGGGAAGGTAACGGTGCTCCATGCAGTCATGCTGGCCAAAGGACCTTGGAGACATCTACGGACAATGCCGGCTCTTCAACTTAGAAATTAAGATGAGCACCACCACCCCAGAGTTGGACACAACTAAACGTAATGTCAAGGGGAAACCTTTACCTAATTGAGAAATGGTGTTCTTAAATCCAAGCGGTTTATTTATTTATTTATCGCGTCAGGGGCAACCAGACAATTGTATTACATTTCTAACAGAACAGACAAAACACAAAGTTTGCAAGCTTGGTAGTTGATTAAATGTCCTTTGATCAGTATCTGGCCACTTGGAGTGCCTCTGGTGTTGCCGCAAGGAGGTCCTCCATTGTGCCTATAGCAGGGCTCAGGTTGCATTGCAGCAGGTGGTCAGTGGTTTGCTCTTCTCCACACTCACATGTCGTGGATTCCACTTTGTAGCCCCATTTCTTAAGGTTGGCTCTGCATCTCATGGTGCCAGAACACAGTTTGTTCAGTGCCTTCCAAGTCGCCCAGTCTTCTGTGTGCCCAGGGGGGAGTCTCTCATTTGGTATCAGCCATTGGTTGAGGTTCTGCGTTTGAGCCTGCCACTTTTGGACTCTCACTTGCTGAGGTGTTCCAGTGAGTGTCTCTGTAGATCTTAGAAAACTATGTCTTGATTTACATCGTTGACGTGCTGGCTGATACCCAAACAAAGGATGAGCTGGAGACGTCACTGCCTTGGTCCTTTCACTATTGGCTGCTACTTCCCGGTGGATGTCAGGTGGTGCAATACTGGCTAAACAGTGTAATTTCTCCAATGGTGTAGGGCGGAGACACCCCGTGATAATGTCTCATTAAGAGCCACATCTACTGTTTTAGCGTGGTGAGATGTGTTCCATACTGGGCATGCATACTCAGCAGCAGAGTAGCATAGCGAAAGGGCAGATGTCTTCACCGTGTCTGGTTGTGATCCCCAGGTTGTGCCAGTCAGCTTTCGTATTATATTGTTTCTAGCACCCACTTTTTGCTTGATGTTCAGGCAGTGCTTCTTGTAGGTCAGAGCACGGTCCAGAGTGTCTCCCAGATATTTGGGTGTGCTGCAATGCTC